ATACATTTATATATATGTATATATATTTATATATATTTGTAATATTAATATACTTATCTATATATACCTTGTATTACATAAAACGCGATTCTTTTACTTATCAATTAGCCCTTAGCATATACATATAATGTATGTATATAGATATATATTTATATATATTATCCGGATGGTATAAATAATATTGTATTTCATAAAAGCACTTCTTGTTGCTTATAATATTATCGTTTCTATACTGTTTCACATTATCATCTCTCTATGTGTTTTTAATGCCGCTCATTTTCTCCTCTTTGTTCTTTTTTTTTTTTAATTCATTCACGTTTTTCCTTTTTTTAAATTGTTTTTTTTTTTTTATTTCCTGTTGTTGCGCCTCATTCAGCACGTTCCCTCGATAAAAATGTTTTTTCTTTCTTTCTTTTTTTTTCCCCCCTTCAATTTTTACTGCCTACGACACACTTTTCGCCCTTATCTACTATCATTCAGGTTTATTTTATTTAATTTTTTGTTTTTTTTTTTTCGTAATTCGCTACCAAAACGTAGACGACAACCTACGGATTTACCAGTTCTCATTGTGTTTTTTTTTTATTTTCTTTTTTTTTAAATTATTAATATTATTTTTGTTTCATTTAATATGTTCAAAGCACACTTCGTTATTGTTTGTTTTTTGCATTTTTTTGTTTTGTTTTATTTATTCGTTTGTTTGTTTGTTTGTTTGTTTTTTATTCGTTTTCGTTAATTATTATTACATATTAAATTTTTTTTGCTGTTACGAAATTTTTTTAGGTTCTTGCTGCCTGGTCCACTAACGTTTCTAGAAAAAATACTCTCCTCCTCGTCATTTTATCAACTATACTGAATGTATGTACTATTACATTGGATACTCAAATCCTTTGAGAATGCGTTATTTTTTTTTTCTTTCTCTTTCTTTATTTATTTATTTATTTATTTATTTGTTTTTATTATTCTTTTCTGTTCGTCTAATCTTTGTCACGCCTGGCTAACTCTTGGCTTCCAAAAATTTTCTATTTTATCGAAGGATTTCTAAGATTTGAAATAAATAAATAAATAAATAACACAAGCCACGTGTCCAAAAAAATTCTCCCGACTGTACGGATTATTTTTTTTTCTTATTTTCTTTTTCGACAAAAAAAATCTTAACGCATGCATGCACATTAATATATGTATGCACATAATTAGAGAAAAGAAAATTTAAATTAAAATCCACAAATTTTAAAAGTCGAGACATACAACAATTTATTTTTTTTTTTTTCTTTTATCTTTACACTTCATTGTTTGAATTTAATTTTTTCTTACTTTTCATTTCAAATCTCAAATCCTTCTTGCTTTGCAAAAAACAATTCGTGCAGGTTCTGTTCTTTCCTCTTTCTTTCTCTCTCTCTCTCTCTCTCTCTTTATCTTTTCTTTCTTTTTTATTTATTTGGTTTTTTTTTTTTGTTAAAAGTCACGACGAATTATTTGTTTCATCGCAGAGGCCACGAACTCGGTAAACAACTAGCGAGATTTTCGATTTTATTTTATTTTCATTTTTCGATTCGTAATGCATTTCTTTTTTTTTTTTTTTTTTTTTTTTTTATAAATTGGAATTATTGCACTAGTTTGATAAGAAGAAAAAAAGGCAAAAAGAATGAAGAATCGAAAGTCGAAATTCTCGCAGGTTTGCTTTTCTTTTATTTTTTTTTTGTTTTTTTTTTTATTTTTTTTTATTATTTTTTCTTTTTATTTTTCCCCTTTTTTTAAATCGCATAACAGAGATCGTATCGACCTTTAAAATGGTTTTTGTTTTTTCTTTTCTTTACTTCTTTTTTTTTTTTACTAAGCTCACGTATTTTTCACTCTTTATTTTATTTAATTTTATTTAATTTTAATTGTAATTTTTTAATTTTACTTCTTTTCTTTTTATTTTCATTCATTTATTTATTTATTTAATTTCCCTACACAACTCCAATCGCATTTAATGTGCCCTTCATATTTTTTTTTTTGTTCTTTTTGTTTCTCAATTTCATTCGCATTTTTAATACGATCAACGAAAAAGGCTAATGACAAAAGGGAA